GACATCTCTTTTCTATGTTTGGCCATCTCTTTATCCTTGCAATTTAAGTTCTTAAAGTCATCAATTATCATTTATGTGATAGGCCTACATTTAAAATGAACATTTACCACAAATTAAAGGTATCTTATATTATTAGATATATTATTATAAAACATGCTTTAGTTAAGGAGTTATTGATACTTCAAGTGCAAAATGATGATATAAAACCATGATAAAAATACACTTTTAAGTACTAATCATTAACCTAAAATCCTAATATAGCAATTCCCTTTAACTAAGACCTTAGTCTTTATATTTAGCTCGGTTAACCTAGAATCTCAATCTAACAAGTCTCTTTAACCAAAACTAAAATCTGCCTTCCTTTTCAACTTAGCTGACTTGAAACCCTAAATCTCAGTGATCCCATTCAACGAGAGCTTTCCTAAAGACGTATTTTTTATCACTCTTTTGACTCATCTAAGTCCAATTTCAAGAATTTTTCTATAAAAATAAAAACTTGTGTAATGTTTTTAGGTTGAAATGCATGCTTTTTTATCTGGTTTGAAAACATAGGTCCCACTTTTTGTTTGGTTTCCTATGAACTTCTTCTTCTTCTTTGTATGAACTAGTTCATATGTTTGAATTTGTATGCTTAAGTTAGGATCCATTTTTTTGTGCTGCCCTTTTTATCCATAATATTTTTAGGAAGAAGTCTCTGATTTTTGTTTCTTAAAAGGCCCTTTTTACTCCACTGAATATATGACTTGATATTGCTTTATATCATGCTCATGTCGCTTTTTGGGTTTTTGGTTTTGTTTTAGCACATACATATTTTTCAAGAAGAAAAACTTCAAAAGACTTGGTTTATTTATGAAAACTAGTATTTATAAAAACTCAAACTTCCAATGCATGCATCAAAACAGTTCCTTAAACCATTCCCATTAAGAGTTTTATCAGATTTCAAAATGTAATTTGTTTTTAGGTCAAGCTTTTACCAAAGATGACCTTACTCTTGGTTTGCTAGTCTCTCTTACCCTGGTTAAATGGTGGATAACAATACTCCGTGACTTTTAAGTCGATTCTTTCAATTTCCTATGATAACTGATATCCATTTATATATTTGTTCAATTCCTTGTTCCTTCTCTTTTTTTTGCATCTCTTTTCTACTTCTCATCTTAAAAAATGGACACCACTCTTGAAAAATTAAAAAGGTCTATTTTAGTTTTTTAGGAAGGTTTCAATATTTACTTTAAGAAATCTATATAGAATAAATGTTTTTGCTTTATGTTAGAATTTATATTTTTCTTACATGAATAAAATTTGTTTGTCACTTATTGATCACTTCGTGTGAATGATAAGATGATTGTTTATCAATCCAGGTTGTGTGTGCTTGATTAAAAAGGACTTCTAAAGACACATAATACAGGTTATGGCTATAGGCTATGAAAGAGATGAATGCTTTTTAGGCTCATTAAGTGTTTAAATTTTTAAAAGACTTAGGATCACTTTGTTTCTATCTTTTTCCCTTTGTGAAGTCATGTTATGGACTTTGTTTGTGTAGACTCTCTTTCTTAATGAAGAGTCTTGCTTCAGGACCTTTGCTTCAGTTTTAGAGTTATTAAACCATTATTTTCTTGTTCTCTCCCTTTAACGATTTCTCATTTCAAAAGCATATCGTTAGTATTGATAAACTTTTTCCTTTTTTGAAAGAACTTGCAAGTGATTACAGAGTTATTACCAACCATTTATCCATGCAATTCAAAATCCTATTCAGAGACAGGTTTTATCTCAAAATTAGCTTTAGTTGTCTAGTTTGGTTACCTTTTAATCCAGAATTGCTTTAATCTCATCTTGAGTATATTATGATTCATTCCTTGCAATTATGCACAAAACCAACTCTTTTCAAGATTTTTACTTAGGAAAAGGATTTCAAATGTTGTGAGATCATGCAATTTATAAAAGAAAAGTTCTTTACACTAAGAATTCATGGCCAAACTTCATTTTATTGACTTGGAAAGAAAACTGGATACATCAGGCATAATGATTTTTTGCAGAATCATAATTTACAAGTCTAACTAGATCTTCTCCATCTATTCGAGACAATCTTAGAGCTCTTTATGAGAAATCCTTCTTCACTACATAAGAACCTTCGTAGTTTGGTGTCTATTTACTCTAATCTTCTTTTAGTAAGGGCAATATTTTCTTCAGAATTAGATCTCTTTCATAGAACATCAGAGGTCGGACTTTCTTAACATATGCTTTAACCATTATTTTCTTGTAAAGTCAGTGATGACAAATCACAACTACTATTTTCTATCATGTTTAGCTATTCATGTGTGACTTTAGTCCATTTGGCCTCTTTTAACTCAAAATCTATCAATACTCTCAACAAAGAGATCTTCATTTTCAAAGGTATCATGGCCTCCATTTCATAAGCTAAAGAATAAGGGTAGCTCTCATTGAAGTTTTGACAATAATATAATATGCGTGTGAATGGTAAATGACAATATCTTATGCCAATATTTATAAATAATCATCATTTTCTTCATGATCTTCTTTATATTTTTGTTAGCAGCTTTTACAGTGTCATTCATCTTTGTCTTATACGATGAGAAATTGGAATGCTTGATTTTGTATTTGATATATAACTCCATTATTATCTCGCCATTGAAGTTTTGTGTATTATAAATCTCTATCTTTTCCAAGTTGATCATATCCGCAGATAAAGTCTTTTTTTTATAAACCTTTTCATCATCTTCTGTGTTACATGACCATATAAATTGATTTTTATACATTTTGTAAAGTAGTCAATAGCCACAAGAGCAAAAACACAAATATATTTATATTTTTACAAATTAAAAAATAGAAACCAAGCAATGGAAAATATTACTTAAGTAAATTTGCATAAATTTATAAAATCTAATTTTATGCTTAATTGAGTATGTGTAAGTTATAATTTGTAATCAAATTAAACATCAAACATCATAAAGCAAATAAATTTAATTAATACATACAAGTATTAGCATGAGTGAAACAGCATAAATCCCAATAATTATTATAAAAAACGCGGGAGATTGTCAAGAAGTTTCGGCTAGTGTTTATTCGAGTTTGAAAACTTCAGCTTTCCAAAAAAGTTTTTAAAAACAAAAAATAGGCTACCTCCCCACAATATTATCTCGGTCGAAGTCTGAAAAAGAACTAAGAAAAAAAGAAACTTTTTGAGATGGTAATGGTAATAATTAAAATTCAAATGGAAAATGGTTATGAAAATATCAAAATAATAATGAGTTTTTTTTAATTATAGTGATTTAAAAAAAAATTACTCAGAAATATATTAAAATAATATATTTTTATTTTAAAAAAATTATTTTTATGTTAATGTATAAAATTAATTTAAAAATACTAAAAATATAAATTTAAAATAAAAAATAATAAAACTTAAATTTTTTAAAAATATTTTTAAAATATAAAAACAAACAAACTTAAAATTTTAAAAAAATTATAAAAATATCATAAAAGCTTGATAATAGCTAGCAATTGACAGTGCCGGCTTTGGTACCAAGACGTTTTTACGCCATAAGGGTTAGTTTGATATTTCATATTGGTTGTTCTTGAATTTATTTTTATTTTTAAAAAATTATTTTTATGTTAATATATAAAATTAATTTAAAAATACTAAAAATATAAATTTAAAATAAAAAATAATAAAATTTAAATTTTTTAAAAATATTTTTAAAATATAAAAACAAACAAACTTAAAATTTTAAAAAAATTATAAAAATATCATAAAAGCTTGATAATAGCTAGCAATTGACAGTGCCGGCTTTGGTACCAAGACGTTTTTACGCCATAAGGGTTAGTTTGATATTTCATATTGGTTGTTCTTGAATTTTTTTTAAGAATATATTTAAATAATATTTTTTTATTTTTAAAAATTTAAATTTTACTTTAAGATATCAAAATAATTTAGAAATATTAAAAAATATTAATTTAAAATAAAAAATAAAAATATATATTTTTTAAAAAAACTTTTAAAATAAAAAACAAACAAATTGGAAGTTTTATTTGTTTTTGAGGTCTTTTAAAAAAATTGAATTATTTTTATTTTTATTTTAAATTAATTTTTATAATATTTTAATTTATTAATATTATAAATAAATTTTTTAAAAATATATTATTTTACCATATTTATAAACAAATATTTTTTTACCACCACAGCATAAAACATATCTGTAGAATATATCCAATCCTCAAAATGTTTGGCCACCATCAATTGCCTCTCCCTCTCCTCTGCTTCACTATCTCACCCTCTTTTTATATAAAAAAATAAAATAAAAACTTCAGCTTAATAAATTTGTTGATAAACTTTCACATTTTCAGAATTGAATAGAAAAGGTGGCTTAAGTACACCTCACAGGAACTCTATCTCACTCACTCACTAGCAGAAATTTCTGGGGCAGAGAACATGCATTGAGAATGTCGTTCTTTCATTTGTAAGTTTGAGTCTTAGTGTTATACTTGTTTTTGGAAATGGGTTTGCTTCAAATTCTGTTTTTGTTTCTCAATTTGGAGTCTTGCTTCCTGAAAATTATTGATAAAAGTGAATAGAATCTTCAATTCATTGCGGGTTTGGTTTCAATATGGGTTTTGACTGTACTTTGAATTGATGAGTGGAATTTATTTTATTTTATTCGATGAAAATGCATGCTTTTGTTAGCATTGATAGTGTGCTGCATTGCTGTAACTAGAAAAAAGCGATACTGTCATTGTTTTTAGTGGCATTATCTGTCAATTTTGGATGCAAGCAAGGGTTTTGGTTTCATGAGGTTCCACCAGCATGATTCAACGTTTTCAACATGAAAGAAGTTTGAGTGTGCAATAAATGGGCTGGAACTTGGAATTCCCTCTAAATTTGCTCACATTAGTAGATTTTGATTGACTATTCGGAATTAGCTTTGTTATATTTGGTGATTTTAGTTGATTGCATTGACTTGTGTAGAACTTGAGAAACAATTTAAACTACTCAAGATGGAAAAAATGTTCGTAGAGCTGATCATGATACGAGGCCGCCTATTGGAACCCTCTTTAGCTACCCTTCTTTTGATATCCATGTATCTCCAGAACTTAAGATGCCACCTGTTATAAATACAAATTAAATGATTTTTCAAGTTTTTCTATTCTCTTACGAAATTCTTTGAAGGATTTCAGCAGATTGACATTTTGGTGAGGCTCTAGAAAATAAAATAACGTGAACTTGTCTGCATACCTTGCAATCATAATAATTATTGATGTTTGCAACATGGATGAATGGTTTTGCTTAGGATCTGACAATAGTATCTGGATAGATAGTTCTATAAAATATGTGACTCTTTTTCCTTTCAACCATCTCTCAGGAGATTGTCTGTTCCCCATTTAACATGCAGCCATGTTCCAAACAGTCTTTTAAGGCCAACTCTGCGTTATGTGTTGGAATACACGCATTTTCAACCAAATGCACAACAGTCAAACAAATGTACATCAATCGGGAAGAACATATGTCCCGCATATGCTTCTATTAGTATCTTCCCAAGAATTGATGATTTTGTAGCCTTGCAAATCAGTGATGATGTCGGAAAGACTACAGGTTCTAGCAAGCATTACCAGTCAAAAATTCCTCTTGATCCAGCTGAGAAGCAGACTATGAGTGCAGAGGTTCAGCCGGATGGAGGCCAATACTCTGCAGAAATTATCAATGACCTTCCCAAAAAGAGAAGAAAAAGAAAGAAAAAACATGGGAACAAAGGGAGGATTCCATGGAACAAAGGCAGAAAACATACTGCAGGTAAGTGTATATCAAATAATTCCCTCCAAGGCTTAATGAAGTTGATTAATCCTGTAGTTTTAACCTCTTTTATTTTGTAGAGACCCGTGCACTGATAAAGCAAAGAACAATTGAAGCCTTGACAAACCCCCAGGAGAAGTCATGCAAGGATTAGTTAGTTTTTTTACAGCTTGTCTTCCGTGCAAGGGAATTCTTGGAATAGTTAGGGTTCATATTGCATGGTTTAACTATAGTACTAAACAGTTTTTTCCTCAAATTTAAGATCTTCACTGATGAGTATGTTCACTCATATATGCTGCATCTCCTGGAATAGCAAATAAAGCTCATACCACAAATCATTTTTTTTTATCTCATTACCAAACAGATGAATGCTTTGAATTCATTTTTCTTGCTTGATTATTATTTATTTCGCATAGAGTCTAAGACAGTAACAAGTACACAAGTAATTGTCCTGCTTTGTATATTACTTTTGTTTTTCCTCTAAAACTAGATTTCATTTCCTCTCAATTTTCAGGTTAGGAAGAAGATGTCAGGGCATCCCCGTGTTCATAGGTAAAGTTTATGCTCTCCAATATCTTTATAAATATACTCAACAAATGTTGTGAAAGTTACATGTGAAAAAATGGGACTGCCAAATCCATGATGTTCTACGTAAGCCACATTTCCATAGATATCCACTTAAAATATTACGTGGATAATGACCTCAAATTGAAGCTTATAGTAATGAATTTGGATATGGTTTATGCTCAGTTAACTCAGTAGATGATTTTTTGAATAAGGAAGCTTGACTCTGACTCAATGAAACTTTTAAGGATTCCAGGGTTTTAATATTTGCTGAGAGTATTCTATAACCTGTATAGGCTCTGCAGCCACACAAAGCTTTTCAGACTGAAAATCACAATTCAAACAAATTCCTTGCAGTGAAGCGATCAGGGCCAAGATAAGTTCTTCGCTCAGACAACTTTGGGGTAAACGTTTGAAATGGAAAAGGCTGAGAGAAAAATTTTTTCTGTCATGGACTAAAATAATAGCAAGAGCAGCTAAGGAAGGAGGCATTGACCAACAAGAGCTAGACTGGGATGGGTACGATAAAATAAAAAAAGAAATAACTCTCAAACAGCTTCAGGGTGCCATGGAAAAGGCAAAGGGAGAGGAGATTGCAAAGAGAAAAGTTGAGAGGGAAAAAAAGGAAAAAGAAGAAAAGATGGAAAAGGTTGCTCAGAAGAGAAAAGAGCGGGAAGAGAAAGCAATGGAAAGAGAAGAAACAAAGAGGAAGGCACACAGAAAATCAAAGCAAAAAACAGAAGAGTCATCTGTTGCCCGAAAGTTGACACTTAAGAAGAGATTAACAAAGGTAACCTACTGGCTACAGTGCAACATGAAAAATCTCACTATCAATTTGAGGAAAAGTATATGAAATTTGATTTTTTGGGGTGCACATTAATACATATATTTGTTTAGTTACTGGCTTCATGGATTAGGAATCATATATTTAGAACTTAGAATTAATTTTTAATCCATCATGTTGTAGCCACACTATGGAAGACGTTGACACAGCAGTCTATCATGTACACTGTTTAGTTACTCATAATCCTTTTTGTTAAGACCTAATATGTAGATGTTGGATATGCTCCTATGATCCAACTACTATCTTTGTTCTTGGTATCTTTTGCATTAAATAAGCAATTCCAAGATGAGACCACCTATATATCAAATGTTGTTCCACATTCATGTTTTGTTTTATTTTTTTATATGTTTGTCTTTACAAGGGCTATATGTTGTCTCTATAGATTCGGAAAAAGAAATCCACTGATGATCAGATGATTAGTCAAGGGGCATCATCGCCTTCCCTTAGCCGAGCTTGGGAGAAACTGAATGCAGAGATTAGTAAGAGAGAAAAGGTTCCAAGAAAAACTTCACTTGCGGATCAGATCCAAGCTGCCAAAAATAAAAAAACTGAATCCAATACTAGGAAAGCTTTAGCAGCACCATCTTTTCCACTCGTTTGCTGAGATGAATACAGTGAGCAAAGAGTTGCATCCTGTGAAGCAACTGAAGCTCAAGTTGCATTTTTTTCCTATTATGACTTCCATCCACTTGCTGTTGTTGCTGACACTTGAGCAATCGTCCCCTGCACAGATGCTGTCTGGGAAGGGATGAAATCCGGGCCTTTTCTATAGAGGATAACTACTGGAATTGACGCTAGCACTCCGATGTATTTCTACTGTAGCCTATCAGTTAATTATACATTACATGTAAATGTATTTAATCTATTAATAAAAGTTTATTTATCTTTAATATTTATCAAATATTTGATTAATAAATATAAAGTAAAAATAAAATTTATGGGATAAATATTTTACAAATGAAATTATAAAATTACTATAATTATAAGATTTTTATTACATCGAGATATTATTTTTAAGATGTTTATGGCTAATATTTTATTAAAATTTGATATTAATTACAATTATTGAGATTAATACATATTATTATTTTTATAAAAGAAAGTTATTTTCATAAAATAAAGTATGAGAGATATCTAGAACTAATATGTTAGTGTTTGTCAAATAGTATATGCACTAAATTGATTAGTATGATAATTCCATATTAAAATGTCACATTTGTCTATAAAAAAGATCATATGACGATTGTGTAAGTGATTATTAGATTTAAGATCATAAAGTTATTTTATATAGAAAATATTATATTTTGATTCTGTTAACATGAATTATATTAAGATATTTAAGTAATTAAGAGAGGATTCATCAATTTAAGTGAATTAAAAAAATATATTTTATTTATTTTCAATTAGTATTGATTATAAATCCTTATAAAAGATAAAATGAAATTTGAGAAAAGTTTCAAATTTTATTAAAAAAATCAATGACTGATGTTGAGAATAAATATGATATGATGTAGTAGACACGTTACATGTTAAAATATCTTTATTAATTAAGAGATAATAATTATATTGAGAAACCGGTTATTAAAAGATTAAGTCAAATGACTTATAAATTTTCTAATATTCGAGGAATCATGATAAGTTACAAGACATTTTATTTTATCTTTAAATATAAATTAATTTATTTATTTATTTAATCTTATTTTATTTAAAATTATGATTTATATTTAAACAAATTTATTAGAGAATCTAATAAGTAACATTCATAAGAACTATTAGTCAGGAATTAAAAAGAGATGATTAATAAAGTGTAATTTAATTATAAATAAATTTTAAAAATTAAAAACTAGAATGTAATTAATACAAGAGATTACAATTCTACATTTAGAAACAATCAAGTAAAGATTCCATTAAATAAATTTTTAAAATTAGCTAAAAATAATATGTCTAATATTATTTGAGCAAATTGATATTTTATCATTAATAGGGTTTATACATTTCTTTATAAATAGAAAATCATATCTCTTATTTTTTATTAGCATAATACAATACAAAAACATATTAAAAACACAAGAAAAAACTAGCACTCAAAAGCATTTTAATCTCTCTTTTTTAAAAAGAATTTAAGATATTTTTTATTGGTTATTTATATAAATTATTATTAAGGGTTGAACAAAGTTCATAACCCACGAAAAAGGGAAAATATTTTAAGAATCAATTTTGGCTGCATGGCAAGAACTGAATTGTCGATTTCTAAGATGCAACCCAAGGCAAAACATGGGTTAGGCCAGGATCCCTGGATCGAAAGATTGACGAGCACATTAACTTTTCTAATTATCTATGTCTGAAGTTAATTTTTAAGAATGTCCATTTCACCTTTCCTGATTTCCAGGATATGATCACTTTCACGCTGCGTGTCAAAACAACCAAATTCTGTTCATCCAATGAAAAGAAAATCCAGTTGTGGAGATTAGTGCTTAAAGGCAAGCTCAGTCTTATGGACACATGACAAGGAATGCTTCGACATCAGCAGAGATTACCCCCTGCTGCTGTCCCGCACCCCTCTTCGGGCTCACAAGACCACATTCTCATCTGCCCAGAATTTCTTGCATTTTCAAACGCATCCAGCATGTATTCTTTCCACATGCGAGAAGGAAGAGATATGCTCAACAGAAATTTGAATGAGAAAATTAACTGCCACAAAACAACGGAGCTATGAGCAATCGGGGCAGACTTATACCTTAAACTTTTGTAAGGTATCAAACCTGGCATTACACCAGCTCTGAAACAGCATCATGAAAAAGGCAATATGACACAAGCTAACACCAGCAAGACACAAGCTAACACCAGCATCACACAAGGGTAGGCAATAACGATTCTATCCTTTTTTAAAACATTACCTTCATAACTGTGGGCAGGTTTCAATTTCCAAACAGATAGACCAGGTACTGAATCCTATCCTTAAAATTGCCAGGGTCTAACATCATCGAAAAATTGAACAAGCCCTACACATTTGAAATATCTTGCATATCTACACAGCATCCGGGCTTGGGGGGTAACTGTTCTGGTAGTTTGATGGTCCACCTTGGTAGCCTCCATTGGTAGGCCCATTCTGGATGTTGTGTTGCATGTTTCCAGGCATGTCATTGGACCATCCTCCTGTGTTGTTATGTGGAGGCATGTCGTTCTGCGGAGGAACGTAGTTGTGTTGTTGGGGGGTGTAGTTTTGAGGGGGCATATTGTTCTGTGGAGGAATGTAGTTTTGCATGGGCATGTTATGTGGCACCCTACTCATATTGTTCTGCTGCCCACCCATATAGTTGTTAGGTGGCGGTCCACCTGGTCCACCCATGTTTTGAGGTCCACCCATATTATAGTTGTTAGGTGGCGGTCCACCTGGTCCCCTGTAGTTGTTTTGTGGCTGCGGTGCACCTTGTCTGCCCATGTTTTGTGGTTGTCCAGCCATGTTGGAAGCAGGGTTTCGCATAGCCTGATTAGCCATAGGAGGAGGTGGAGCTCCACCTCGCTGCTGCATGTTTTCCATTCTTCTGTCAAAGTTCCTTGATCTGTCAACGTTACGAGGTCGATCATTACGCCTATTTCTTTCATTTGCCCTCGCATTGTTCCTAATCCATTCCTCATGGTATTTTGGGTCATAGGGCACAGCTTTCCCATCAATAAATGGCTCCCCTGATAGAAAAATACCATCAAGCAACAATAATACACAGCATAGTGTCATGACTTAATTAATCGCAAAGAATAAATAGTAAACCATGACTCATGATTGAAAGGAGGCATTAGTACTTATTTTCATAACCACAGTTTTGAAGAAGAGAAAATTCCCATTCCTAGTGTGTGACTCAATGGAAATCAAACAAAAGCCTAGCAGTACAAGAACATAATTAGGGCACCATAATCTGCATCCCTAATCCCCTTACTAAGAACAGACAAAAAGCAGCTTTCTGTGTGGAATTATGTATAACAATGAAGGTTGTAAAGCTATTTTTAACAAGCAAATGCAGTTGATTGGCAATGCATCGGAGAATATTTGGCAAGATACAATCCTGATGGAGTTCTGCAATTTTTTTACCCGTTTATTTTTTTTTTTTCTAAAAAAAAAGACCTGCCACTCAAATGTGATAACTAAATAGCAAAAGCTAATCCTGGAAAATATTACCGACAAACCCTAGTGAATTTACAACAAATTCTTGTACACTGCATCTGGTCAAGATCTAGAAGTGTTACAATTGCATCCAACTTGAAAAGAACGAGCTTCAACTATCATAGAATGAGACCAAATATTCAGCATGATTTCTTGGTGCACGTCACTTTTGATCCAGAAGTTTCCTTAAAGGTAGAAAAAAACTAAAAAAAGAAAAAAGATGCAAACAGAACTTTCAATTACTCAATGCAGAAAAACATGCATTTACAACAATATAAATTTGTACAACATACAAAGGTACATATGAAAAAGGCTCCTTACCTCCATAATCTTTGTTCTTCACATCCAGGTATGAATCGGGAAGAACCCAACGGACATTTTTCAATTCTGGAAAAGTGACCAACAGAACACATCCATCATTCAAACTTTTTAAAAACATATAACATCATTAACCAAGCACTACAAAGCAGCAACCAATTTTTTTTCCACTAAAATAACTTGAACATGTTTCAAGAAAAGCTTTCTTAGGAAAAATAAAAGTGAGCAAAATTTTCTATTTTCAGTAACTATTTTTATCAGTTCTTGAAGAAAAGGGACCGATAGTCATCTTTTCAAGTGAAGGGAGGTAGTTTTACATTCTAGGAAGGATGCATCTAGTTTAAGAAAACATATTTTAAGTATCAATCTGAAAGTTGTTTTTTGGGTTAAAATGGAACAAAGGCATGATATTATTTAAGGGTAAGGGGATCAGTTTTCATCCTTGGGAAGGTCAGGGTCATTGCCAGCCCCCTTTGCATTTTCCCCTTCTTAAAAGCAGATATACCTTTAATCTTGTAAGAAACCTCTTCAGGCACCAGAGCTCCAAAGGCATAGTAGCATCGAGTAGAAACTGAATAGATCTTCCTCCTTGCTTCTTCCTCACTGCCATACAGCCACAATAATTATATTAACAAGACTTGACACATCACGAAAACCAATTTCTTTCCAGATTACTCTGGTAAGATCAGAGGTTTTTATACAGCGATCCTCGCACTTAAAAAAATAAGGCATGCAAGATATAAAATTTCAAAATTAAAAGCATCTCAGAGAATAAAAAAGGAAACCAGAAAAACCCAATATTGAAATGTTAAACTATAAAAAACAATTCTCATCAAAGTCAGATACAGTAACAATTAAGCAATCAAACTTCTTGATCCTTAAAGAAGTATTATTAAAATGCACTCAAACAATAAATAATCATAAAGAAACCCAAAAAAATCACGAACACGCACGCGCACAACCCCTCAATAATAAGCAACCAAATACAGAACACAAATCCACTAGAAAATGACTAAACCAATTAACTTCAATAGAAATAGACTAAAAATAAATCAATAGAAAAACTAGTGATTGCTAAAACGAATACCAACATTTCAAATAACAAAAGAAAAACCAATCTTAAATCAAACAAAATCAAAAGAGAAAAAAATAATTAAATTAAATGAGAAATAAATTGAAGGTTTGAACTTTAATAAATTACCTGCCAACAACTTGAGCAAGCGTTTTAATATAAGAATCGATGATCTCGTCACGA